TAATAACAATAATAATGGGCTCTTTGCACCTAAGGCGTTGACGTCACATCTCCAGGAGCTAATGCGGCTCACTTGTTTCCGCTTTGAGTTACCATGACTGGTAGAAAAGACTAAGTTGGATTTCAGATGCAAAAAACGCAATACTATGAACGTTGTTGTCTTCCTAATATAATGGGCTTTTAAGTTTCCATTAATTTCCAAGCGATCCTGAATTAAGAAAATGATGGCTTGTAAATATTTGTCACTACCAGTTAAAGCTAACGCTGCACAACACAAAGTTTGCAGCCTTCACTTCACTCCGGATCAGCCTAAAAATACCAGGGATACGGATGATAAATAAAGGAGCCTCCCTGAGTTATTTCCATGGAATCACTTCTGTAGTCAGCCTGAAAGAGTTTATCCGCCTGTACATACTGCTGTAAACACCGTCCTGAGCTCTTCACAAGAAACATGCAAAGGTAATAAAACGAAATAACACGGAGACATGAAGCAACACGGTCATATTTTTCTAAAAGCAACTTTGAACCAGATCTGACACCAGAGCCGTTAGGCCCGTTTACACGACAATGAAACGAAGAGTTTTGTTGCGTTTGTACTGTACATTTACACAAAACGTTTTCTCTGACAATGGCTCAGATTGAAAACGGGTTCCAGACTGCGATGATTCTGAAACGTACCGATGTCCGTTGTGGTGTAAACAGAGAAAATGGATCTTTTCTTCCAGAGAATCCCCAGCTAATGCATAATATGACACAAAATATAGCTGCTTTCTGCAATCCACAGAAGAAACTACTGACAATGCTGGTGTTACCGTTTCCCCATCAGATACGGTCTCTTCACCGCCCAGCTGGCAAAATACACGGCAGAGCATTACACGTTTTCGATGTGAACCGTTACTGTGTAAACAAAGATTAAAACGTTTTCATGTAAATGATCCAACAAAAACGGAACAAAGATTCCGTTTTTGTTGGATCATCGTCGTATAAAGCGATGAGACTTCTTGTTGGGCTTCGTCAGGCTTCGGAAGCTAAAAGCCCAAACCGTAATATACATATATATATAATTGAATATTATATATGTACATAATATAATTGAAAATAAGATAAAATCTTTAGATACTTAAATTGCACAAAGTCCGTTCTTGTAAAATGATATTTTTATTGGATCGGAAACAATCGAGTCGCTTTTCCCCAAACACAGAAGCTGAGGTGCGAAGAGCTACTGTCCACCTAGCAGTTTTTTTAGTGTTGAACTTGAGAATAAGGGATTATTTATTCTTCATCAAGTGGGAGGAGGATGAGCACGAAGGGAGTTGGTGTCAGTTTTCGTTTTGCTGGGTTGCAGAACGAATTTCAGATGGTGGTGAGGGAGTATATTCGTTTGGTTTAAAACAGGGCAAAATGTTTTACAGCGTTCTACTAATCACCTGATTAGCCAGTGAAGATGAGGCATCTGGAAAATGTACTTTACATTTAAAATATTATGCATATTGTGTTAGTAAAGAGATTTCTCATATGGTCTTGGTAATTTACTTGGCATTGAGGCGTTCGACATTAGTATCCATAACCTCTTATACAATGAGTGAGATGAACGTTTTCAAAGCCTTCGTCTTGATGTGTGGTTTCTTGGTGGTGAGGATTGGACGCTGAGACCCAGGTAAGATGAAGACGAAGGTGATTTAATGATGAAATTGCTCATAAACAGTCCAGGAAAACAGGCAGACAGACAAGCACACAGCTAATCGCTGGTAGCACTGAAAACAAAGACTGAAGAACTGGAGCCGACGCGGGACTTAACCAGTACCACTGGGACGACGGACAGACAGACATACGCTTGACAATAGACAAACAAGAGACAAAGACAACAGGTGGACTTAAATACACACGGAGTAATCAAGGGAACGAGACACACCTGGGAACAATCAACGGGGAAACGCAGAGACTCCAGGAAGGAACTGAACAGAAACACGGATCATGACAGGCTTGAATTTATGCAATTATTTTGTTTCCAGGGGGGATAATTAATCATTAGAAGTTTTTTTCTGCTTGATAGGGAAGTTTTATTTTAAGTAAATAGAAGATAGTTATTGTTTAATTTTTTAATTAAAAATTAAAATAACATTACTAATTTAAATAATAAACTAATGCATGTTATTTTTATGTATTTGGTGGTTTTGGTAATTAGCTTCTGAAAACCCAAATTCATGGTTGAGAGCAGTAAACTTACTAAACATATTTTTGGTCCTGGATTTGGTACTGAATTAGGTGCTTACAACATAAATAAAAGATATTACAACAAAAGATGATCTTTTGATCCTTAATGATTGAATCAACCTGAAACAAAATTATACAAATCAAGGCTTTTGAAAGTTTCATCATGTTTGCCATTTTCTGTGAGATTTGCATCACTAAGTAGTCATGTCAGTTTCCTTGAGGTAAATTGTCAATATTATATAACAAGTCTTTCTTACCAAGATAGTATTGGTCATATTGTAAATGTACCCATTTTGTATTTATAGTATTTTAATCAAATTCTTCAATTGTCGTATTGCTGTAATAATCAATGAATATTTGTGGCACTAAATCCTCCAATGTTTTAATGCAGATGCCTCGTTGATCTCTGGCTGCGAGTCGAAATTCCAAAACCTGCAGTGATTTCATGTCACGTCAGTGTTTTAAGTTTTAAAATTTAATGGTTTTCTTGTGTTTTATAACAAGTATTTGCAGTATGTACTTTACTCTTGTTTAAGTTTTTTTTCTTTTCTATTTTTGTTTGTTTTTCAGTAGGCATGGTACGGCGTCGTTCCATTGAAGACTGGCCCCGCAGTTTAGTGACTAACCGTTGTCACAAGTTGGCAACACAGCGCTCTGACAGAAATGATTTAAAGGAGAAGATGTAGACAGTTATAATTTTATTGTTTTTATTTCAAAGTTTGTTCTATTGATTGGAGCATCTGAGGTCCTTTGCTGATGATTGTTCAAGTTTCAGTCTCCTCCTGGTGCTCATGCTGCTGAATGGGGTATATGCCTCGAGAGGTGGTGACGTATTTCCGTTTGAATTTATGCCACATAGGTTGGTTCCGGGTCCTGCTGACTCCTATTGTTTTCAGCCAAAGCTGCAAGATCTGTACCATGAAAAAGACGCAAAACTTAAAACATCTGTGAGCTGCTGGTACAACAATCGAGTTTTGTGGTGTGCCGTTGTGTCCAGTAATTAGCCGGTACCATCCGGTGCTTAGTTTTTTTCATTTTCCTGCTGAAATCAAGGACAGCTAACACGCGGTTTGTAGCTGCCTGCTATTTCAAAGCTTGAGGATACTGAAGATCCAGCGTCAGAAATGGGAAGACGGAGGTTAAAAGGAAGCTGTACGAGCTTCGTTCACTGGAATAATGTGTTGGAGGAAAATAATGCCAGGAAATCCACTGCAACGGGAACAGGCTGAGAACAGAGGCAGCGATTCGGCACAAGGTCAGTCAATACGTGTGTTGAGGCGTTTGTGTTATATGGAGTATGAAATTATTCTTAGGCAGCTCCTTAGCTTTTGTTTATATGACATATATAAAATACATTTAACATGCAGTCGGAGCGACTAGCCCCTCCGATACTATTAAGAGAGGAAAAATTCTTGAACTTTAAAAACCTTTTGACTCGTTAAATCCTCTCTTATGCCCGGGTTCAGAAAGATGCTGTGTGCAAAGACTGAGATCACGCAGAGATGACAGCGTCACAATAATCAGCATTTATTCAAGACAGATGCATACTATGACCAGACAAACATCACAAAACATCAGAAACCTCAGAGCACAAACAACACATGAATTTACCTGAGAGAGAAAAACACAAAAGATGGAAACGACAAACAAAAAGCAAAGACAAAATCTAGTAACAAAATCTGATTTGTTACTCTGTAGAAAGTTTTATCCTCTTGTATTTAATTTATTCAAATAAGGCGTACCTGTGCTCATCCAACCAGGAGCTATCTCTGACCCTCTATCTGAAGCCTAAAACCCCTGCCGTGTTTACAGCCTTTCACAGATGAGTGTGAAAAGCTAGAACTTCCACTGTATTGTTTTCCCACAGACAAAAGGCAGTTCAAACGATCCTAGCAAACCATCTGCTGGAACTACAGGTAAAATAAAGGTCAATAGGCCAGAATAAGTTACTGATTTAAAACCACAATTTAGGCCATTTGAATCAAGACATGTTAAGTTTTAAAACTAGCTTATTTTAAATTTATTTTCTCAACAATACCGAGCAGGTAATTTAATAACAGCCGACAGCAGCAAACCACACCACACAGGTAGTCAGATTAAGGTCCAAAACCTTCACTTTACAGCCGTTTAAGTGGCACCGATCCACATGAAAAACCCAAAGAACAAATGGTACAAATCACGTATTTCCAGAATCCCGAATATATTAGAGTGAATTTTTCCACTTTGCTGCTTTAATCTGTTACGTAATTTCTCCTTTTTTCCTCTGAGATTCTGCTTAGAAAATGAGGTTATGAAGTTACATCCTCCCGCTGCTTTTTGTTTTTAAAATAATATATTTAGGTTTGCCTCGATTTTATAAACTAATGTCTCTATGCATCATTTTTTGTCTTACTGTTGGTGCAGATATTAGGTGAACACTGTGCTTTGCCTGCCAGTAGTTTAAATTAATTTCAGCTGCACACTTTCAAGGGTATTCAGATTTTAACATGCATTTCTAAGTAGTATTTCAGTTCACTCTTACTCAGTGACTTCAATGTTGTTACACCTCTGAAACATTTTTTGTAGTTTCTTTGTGATACCAGAACTATTTCACTTAAACATTTAATTTCCTGAGAGTCAATTTATGTTCAAGCAAACTCTCAAAAAGAGCTGAGGATTTATTAGTTTTGATCATGTTGGGCAGCTAAATATGGAAGCTTATTGTTTTTTTGTGTGTTTTTAATTTTTCAGGTTTGCATCGCAACACCTCGTGTTTCTGAGCCATGATCGCTGTGCTGATTACCTTTCCATTGGATCCAAGCACCTGGACCAGCTGACGGCATCCATCAGTCCACGGATCATCACAACGTGGACCAACTTTTTATTTACTTGGTTAAACTATGATCTGGAAACCGGAGCACCAGATATGCAAAAATCTTCCTGCAGACTTTGACACTGCAGTCATCCTGGACGGGGCTGAGCCGCTCTTCCTCTCTCCTCTTCCTCTCCTCCAGAGTGACGAGTTTTCATCACCAGTAAAGGCGAACAGGTCTGATGTCTGATTAGCTGCTAGGAAGTATATTATATATTCACTGTTCATTTTGCTATCCTGTTTGTACCTCCAATAAAATTGAATCTCATTTGTAGTACTCTACATTTCACAAACCTTTTTTCCCTTTTCTCTGTGTTTACATTTTATCAAGTATTTACATGTAGATCAGGAATTCAAGTGAGATGGTAAAATGCAACACATTTAGGTAATACCAGCAAAGAAATGTGAATATTAAGTAATATGTAGTTAGTCATATAATTTAATATACTGAGTAAGGCTGGATGATATGATTTACAAGATTTTTTTCATACCAGATTTGATTTTAATCGATTCCTCCTGCCCTCAATTTCTATAATAAAATCACAGAAAATACTTTCAAAAAGTGCCTTTATTTCAATCATCTGTTCTGTGAGTTGTATAAGGGAGCATTATGGTCAGGACTGCAAGTATGCAGTCATTGTTGCAGCAGAATAAAGATGCAATTTTATAACAATGTCTTAAAATTACAAGAAGTTGTTTAATGAGAAATAAAGATTCAGATTGATCTGACGTAACCAGCTCAGTCCATGTGGTTCTGACATTTGTCAGAACCAAGAGGATTCAGATTTTCACCTCAACTGACCAGATAAGGATTAAGGTACAAATAAAAAATAGAGCAAATACTGTAAACAAAATGGAAAAAGCAACTGATAGAAATACTTTCTATATAAAGAAAAGTAAAAAAAAAAAAAAAGTTAATAGCAGGAGAAAAGTTGATGGCAACATTAGCTCGGCCTATTCATCCCTCCAGGAAGCCATTCAACAGAACTCCTGTCCAACTCCAACTATAATGAAGATTAAAAAGAGAGAAAAACAGAAAGTTAAAATAACAAATAATACCAATTTAATATTCAGATCTAATGTGTTCTGGAATCTATTATTGACATTTTACAAATTTCACAAATCAATTAGAAGGTTTCACAAATGTTTTATTTATTCTGCTGTCAGTACAGAATAATCTAGTTAGGTTTGAAATGTCTAGGTGTTATAGTTTTTAAAGTACAACACATTAAAAAAGCTCAAGATAGTGAAAAATTAAGTGTAATCGCCCTTTAGCTATTTTCCGAATTAGATGCTACATTCAGAAGCTAACTTCAGCTTCTGGGGCACAATATAGACATATCTCTATATGTTTATATAGATATATATCTATATCTATCTATAAAGCATAGATATGTAGATTGCACACTGCACAGGTAATCAAACCACTTATCGTTTACATAGCACCTTTATAAGCTTGTCCCTGTTAGCTACGTCAGACATATGAGGCATTATGGTGAATACAAACGATTTATTAACTTACCTTTGAAGTTATTGTGAAGTTTTGACACATCCACATTAATTTATTCAAATAAGGCACATCTGTGCTCATCCAACCAGAAGCTGTCAATAGTTTCAGATTTAAACCCAAACATGGCTAAATTAAGAATTTTGTTGAAAAGAACTGTTCAATCTACCTTTTTGACATGTGATAAGATTAACTGTATTTAAACAGAGAATATTCAGTTTCATCCCAATAAAACATGGAGAGCAATGGCCACTGCGGAATAGATTAGAGAAACAGTGATATGTTTTTAAATAGATCGTTATTTTCTTAGGTTTCTTATACTGGTTTCCTCTGCACTTGACTGAATCCATAGAGAAGCAAAATGCATTTCTGCTGCAGGTCGGTAAAGCTAGGTCGGCATTTTTCTTTGGTAAATGTCTTGCAGGTCTTTTCATGTTATGTTTTGTGAAGGGATTGTTTGCATGATTTATTTTCAATTCATCATCGTTTTCAGGGATCCCTTATTTTTCCATTGGAGTTCTTCCCTCTGAACCGTCTTGATCTGTGGTGCCCTGATGGTGTGAATATAACTTTAGACACAGTAAAGTTACATTTTGCATTCATATCAAATGTTAATTTTGTGCCTGTTATTACTCTCTATGTGTACAGATCTACCTTAGCGATGACGATGGCATGCAAATTCTGCAAGAACTCGTGGTTTGTAGCGTATCAGTACTTGGAAATATCAGCACCAAAGCCGCCGGTCCAGAACCAGGCAGCTCCAGTGTACAGAGATTTGTTCCCCACATTGAAAGGAGAGGTATGAATATTTTATGTTTGTTTGCAGTGAAATAAAGGTGTTTGGTCTAAAAAAAAAAAGTGGCTAATGATTCTAAATTTATTTTATTTTTACAGAGGATTTGTTCAGAGGAATTGCATGTGTTTTCTGATCCACTTAAGAAAAAAGTGGTTTCTTACAAGGTCTGTGAGGCTTTTATCTATTGATGATATATTTTAATAATTTACATTTTAATTACATGTGGACAACAGTTTGGTGACTTTAAAGGAATGTTACATTTTCTTAAATCCAGTCCGTTTCTCGGCTGACATGTTGGTTGAAACACTGCTCAACACTATGGTGTGGTTGATTGATGACATCACTTAGCTCCACCCCTCACAACAGAAAATCCCTTATTTTACTGATGATCTTTTACTCAGATATTTCAAACTGTTTGGTGACAGAACAAGTGATGCTGAGTCCGTCTGTGAAAGCTGATTGGTGGATGGGCCGTGTGGGCGTAGCAGAGCCCACACGGCTCTGCCACATTATTTTCTTCAGACAATTTATAGTTTCTGGGATTTTATTGACCACCAGACAGGAATGCACCAGGGTTTTTTGTGTTTTGTTGGGGAGCAGGTAGGTGTTTATTTTCAGTATATACACTACATTTGAACTCTGGTTCGTGGGTTCATCCTGCCTCAGAAACCAGGGTAACACTGCAGAAAACTTCAGGGTTACTCTGGGATTTGCAGTGCTCGGTTTGTCCAGCAGATGGCAGTGATAGACCAGAGATCGTATGGCTCAGTTTAAGCGGAGCAGAGCGGTTTTCTCCTGTAAAGCTCATTCAGTCTTGTCTGATAGATATTAATGTGCTCATATTTACCATTAGGGGCCATGTTAATCTTCTCTGTATCGTTCCAATTTTAGTTGATGGCTGGGAGAGCTTTGAGCCTGACAAAAGCTCCGGTTCTTGTGAATTCAGCTGGCTGGTTACTTTGTAGTGGAGTCCATGATTACCCATCATGCATCTGTGCATTGAAACGACCAAGTTACAAGAATAAACAAGAAATTTGTGGGTAGTCTGGGTACATTTTTAAAGTAGTCAAGTACAGGTATGAGGTAAAAGTTTATTTAGCAGCAGACCTTCATGTTTGGAGGTTTTATCTTGTTCTGAAAATGAAAGTAAAACCGCTATGGAGAAGTGGGCGGACCAGAGGGCTATAAAGACTGCTGTGAGACAGTGTGCTAGTGTCCTAGTTCTCTAGGACATATACTAAAATTGGAACGATACAGAGAAGATTAGCATGGCCCCTGCGCAAGGATGACACGCAAATTCGTGAAGCGTTCCTCATTTTCTTCTTCACCAGAAGAAAAAAAATCATCTGCGAACAAAATCCCGGCACAAAACGGCACAGTTAAATCAGTCATAGTTTGGGTTCCTGAACACTTTTCCCTCCAGAAGCTCACTTCTTAGAATGTAGCTAGGTGACCGGTAAAATAAGGGATTTTCTATTGTAAGAAACTCATATCTGTTCGTGTTTAAAAAGATTTGTGCGTTTGTAATACTGGATTTGTAAACCTTAAAAATGAAATAAACCTCCTACGCCTATACATGTTGAAAAAGTACACACAAATCACCTGGTACACACACACAACTGCATTTACACACAGATCCAGTTACGAGTGCACAACTATTTTTGAGACTCATTTCACGCTTCGGGGAAGCTCCAAGATTTGTGTGTAGATGGTGCGTTTACATGCTAGTAAAAGCTGGGACATCTGAGTTTTGCTCTGAGTCTAGTGTTTTTCTACTTTAGTTCGTGGAAAACTGAATATCTCAGCACTTCCTTATAATATCCTAAAATTATTTACAGACATATTGTGCGTTTTGAGCGGTACAGGAGACCACAGCTAGACTTTATTCACCATAACAAAATGAAGGGTACTTCATTTATGTTGACTTTTCAACATATTTAAGGATTTAGTCCAATATTCACACATAGGCCTGTCAGAATAATCAATAAATCAATTAATCAGATGATAAAACAAACTCAATCATTTCCATTGGCATGATTTATTGTTTCTCTTTTTCTCTCTTTATACCAAAAACTGGATAATAAAAGTCTTCAGTTTGGTACTTTGGTCTCAATTAGACCTTATTTTGAAAAGCAATTTTGTTTAAAAAGACTTCAAAATTCATTAGTTTTATTTATTATGGATACTAAAAATGTCTCCCAGTGTTAAATGTTCATTAGAATTTAAAGTTTAATGACCTTTGAGAATGAGTTCTTGCATTATTTCATCATTACTATTATATAACTTAAAAATGGCCTCAAAAGAACTATATTATCGTTTGTTGAGAACTTTGGAACAATTTATCATACAGTAATTTTTTTTCATGGTAACAGACCTATTCACACATCCTCCAGAACCTTCAGATTAAACTGTGTTTGTGTCTGGACCCCATTTCATCGGCCCTTAAACAAATACACTGCTCAAAAAAATAAAGGGAACACTTAAACAACACAATATAACTCCAAGTAAATCAAACTTCTGTGAAATCAAACTGTCCACTTAGGCAGCAACAGTGATTAACAATCAATTTCACCTGCTGTTGTGCAAATGGAATAGACAACAGGTGGAAATTATTGGCAATTAGCAAGACACACTCAATAAAGGAGTGGTTCTGCAGGTGGGGACCACAGACCACTTCTCAGTACCTATGCTGTCTGGCTGATGTTTTGGTCAGTTTTGAATGTTGGTGGTGCTTTCACACTCGTGGTAGCATGAGACGGACTCTACAACCCACACAAGTGGCTCAGGTCATCCAGGACGGCACGTCAACGTGAGCTGTGGCAAGAAGGTTTGTTGTGTCTGTCAGCATAGTGTCCAGAGGCTGGAGGCGCTACCAGGAGACAGGCCAGTGGAGACGTGGAGGAGGCCGTAGGAGGGCAACAACCCAGCAGCAGGACCGCTACCTCTGCCTTTGTGCAAGAAGGAACAGGAGGAGCACTGCCAGAGCCCTGCAAAATGACCTCCAGCAGGCCACAGATGTGCATGTGTCTGCACAAACGGTTAGAAACCGACTCCATGAGGATGGTATGAGGGCCCGACGTCCACAGATGGGGGTTGTGCTCACAGCCCAACACCGTGCAGGACGCTTGGCATTCGCCAGAGAACACCAGGATTGGCAAATTCGCCACTGGCGCCTTGTGCTCTTCACAGATGAAAGCAGGTTCACACTGAGCAGATGTGACAGACGTGACAGAGTCTGGAGACGCCATGGAGAGCGGTCTGCTGCCTGCAACATCCTTCAGCATGGACTGACCCACTGCCACCGGTTTGGCAGTGGGTCAGTAATGGTGTGAGGTGGCATTTCTTTGGAGGGCCGCACAGCCCTCCATGTGCTCACCAGAGGTAGCCTAACTGCCATTAGGTACCGAGATGAGATCCTCAAACCCCTGTGAGACCATATGCTGGTGCGGTTGGCCCTGGGTTCCTCCTAATGCAGGACAATGCTAGACCTCATGTGGCTGGAGTGTGTCAGCAGTTCCTGCAAGATGAAGGCATTGAAGCTATGGACTGGCCAGCCCGTTCCCCAGACCTGAATCTGATTAGCACATCTGGGACATCATGTCTCGCTCCATCCACAAACGTCACGTTGCACCACAGACTGTCCAGGAGTTGGCGGATGCTTTAGTCCAGGTCTGGGAGGAGATCCCTCAGGAGACCATCCGCCACCTCATCAGGAGCATGCCCAGGTGTGGTAGGGAGGTCATACGCAATACTGAGCCTCATTTTGACTTGTTTTAAGGACATTACATTAAAGTTGGATCAGCCTGTAGTTATTTCACTTTAATTGTGTGTGGCTCCAAATCCAGGCCTCCATTGGTTAATAAATTTGATTTCCATTGGTGATTTTGTTGTCGGCACATTCAACTTTGTACAGAACAAAGTATTCAATGAGAATATTTCATTCATTCAGATCTAGGATGTGTTCCCTTTATTTTTTTTGAGCAGTGTATATATCTGGTCTACAAACCTGCTGCTCATCTTCATTTCAAGTTGATTAATGTAGATGGTAAAATGTATTCAGATGGTTTAGATTTTTACTGTCATGAAGTGGTTGTGGGTGGTGGTGAGGAGAAACACAGAGACCCAGGTTAAGGTGATTTTAATAATAATGCTCGCAGCAGCACGGCAGAGAGACTAGCGCACAGCTAAATGCTGGTAGCAACTGATACAAAACGAGCAGACGCCGACACAGGACTAACGGTACGACTGTGCCGGCAGATGAACTAACAGACAGACGAGAAGCGAAGACAGAACTGACTTTAGACGAGGAGGAACACAGGCAACAGGTGGGACTAAATACACACCTGGGAAACAATCAACATGGAAGACGCAGAGACTCACAGGGAACAGGACCAGACAGAAAATTCAAAATAAACACACAGAAACACGGATCATGACATTCACAAGCAGTAAATTTCTTTCTTGATTGATATGATACAAATGAGAGCTAATAAAGAAAAAGAAAATATTTTATGCATTTATTTAAAGCACCACTGCAAACAGCCTTCACAGCAAAACATTTAATCAACATAAAAAAAGATTTCTACATGCATTGTGATTATTCAAGTAATTTTTAGGTTCAGTCAGGTCTGTCAGTGCATCAGCTGTTCAGGAAAATCAACATAACTGTTGTTGGGAATGGAAATCCCGATCGATGAATCATAATTTGTATTGACACACGGAGCATAAAATCAGCCAACCAAAGCATTCAGACTTTTCTGAAAAGTGCGGAGTTCACAGTAAGTTGATTTTATGTATTTATTGCACAAAAAAATGTAAATTGTTTGAAAAATAAGCAACATAAACGTTCATTGGAATAGGTAATGTAACTTAGAAAGCATATACTCGCGAACAATGTTCCCCTAATTTTTCATGTGTCTGGGCATACACAAAGCTCCCTGAGCCCACTGAGGGCCACTGTGAGCAACATCAGATGTGCACGCTGTAACCACACACACACCACACTTCTCCCGCTGAAAGCTCACTTGCTACTTTGGCTTCGCTGCATGTCTTGCAGAGTAGACCTTTCTCACTCAAAAAAGAAAAAATCTCACCCAGTTTCACCGCTTGTTCTTCTATTTGCACATACTCAGACAGCCATTCCATCCTAAAAGAACCGCAGTTCTTTTTTACTTTGTCTTGGTGAGCGGACGTGTCGCTGCCGTTCGCTTCACCATGATAAATTTAAGTTAAAATATTATTTTATGCGCTGCATAGATTTTCTTGTGCACTGAGACTGCACAATCGCGCAGCTAAGAGGGAACATTGCTCCCGAAAATAATTTAAAAGCACGTCTTGGCATGTGTTGTCCAACGGTAATTTTTGTCATCAGCCTTTAAGCTAGTGCTAATGTAACTGATGCTTACCCATTTGTGTTTAGGGCCTGCTATGCAATGCATAAAATAGTGCATAGAGCAAGATTTGTTTGGATACCATCTTAACATTTTTCTGTAGGGCTTTAAGTTAGCCCTGCAGAAAAGAAGGGAGGAACCCCGCCATGGATTTGGCACACAGGCTTTTCTTAAATGAGCAGAAAGCCAGGAAGCATCTCAAGTCATCTCCCTCAGAGAAACACTAAAACTTAAGGACAAACAAAATAACACAATACTAACAATAATTACAATTTAATTAGTAGAATAGCATTTAGTTAAAATTAACATGACAGTCTAATTTGTAGTTTTATATTAAAAAAACTGATCTAAGAGGATGCAGAAGTTCTGAGCCACTTTGTGTACCTGGCTTTATGTCGATTTAAAATTACTGCACTGATCTGTATTTGTAGGAATTACACATCATGTGATGTTTTGCTTTTAAACGTTAGAATAAACTTTAAAAATATAAGACATGGAGCATTGACTGTCAATATTTATTCAATGTCACATGCTGTTTTTATTTTAATTATGTAAAGCACCTTGAAATGCCTTGCTTCTGGAATGTGCTATGCAAATAAAATTCGATTGATGTTTGATTGATTGATACTTACCTCTGTGTTTTTACTCATTTACAGATTAACATGTCTCCTCCAAGCCTGCCATCAAAGTGCCCCACTTGTGGCAGTAACTTCCGTTATCTCGGGAAACATTTACAAAATAAACATGGATTAAAAAATAAAAATCCTCACTTTCTATGGCAGTGGGCGGACAAATATTCGAGCCGTACCCTGCCCCATAGAAGGGTGTACATATAACAAGTCAAGATTAGATAACCATCTTGAAAAAAGCCATTCAGAAATGGCTCCTGAGAAAATACAAGAAATAATTTTGTGGGGTTCTTTAAAGAGACCCGCCTCTCCACCTCGCGGGTTTCAAAGAGGGCCTTGGTGGCGGTGCACCACCATCATCCGTCTCCGGTCTCGGGAGACGGGTGGCGATGTCTTCATATCAAGAGTGCCAAGCTGCGGCACCTCGTCCCCAAGCGCCACCTCCACACGTGTCGGGCGAGGTGCATGGAGGAGATCCCCACATCCTCGGTGAGACTTTTGTCACCTCGAGTGCATGTGTGTCTCGCCTCGTTCCTCTGTCCAGGCCTTTGAAAGGGTTTCCTTGAATTGTTTTCCTCTGTCCAGACGAACTGGAGGAGGACCCCTTCAGGGAGTTGATGAGGAAGTTCTTCGCGCTCCTGTCCCTGTACATCTCCTGCTTCTACGGACACAGGACCGGCGTCCTGGGGAAGATGACTTCATCATCCTGAAGCCACCAGATGAAGACGAGGAGAGGGCCATGCGTGCGGCAGCGGAGGCCGTGCCAGCTGAGGATGCTGAGAGGGCGAGAGCGCTCCTCTCTCTCAGGCTAGATATCTGCTGAAACATAACACTGCCTCCTCAGATTTGGTCCAAACTTTCATCCTTTGCAATAAAACACAACGGATCCCATCACTTGTACGCAAATGATCTGGACGGCCTCATTAAAGGACACAAGAAACATCTTTCCTAGAGCACGTATTCTTGTACCATGCATTAACTTTTCTGAAAGAGGCACGCCGTGGTCACGTGACTTTTATGGACCAAAGGAATAAAAAGAAGACTGAATACTGCATTCACAGTTTCTTTTCTAATTTAGTTTGTTTTGGTTTGGATAATAGGAAAATATGTAAATAAATGGAAACAGGAAGTGACACCATGGCTATGATCTGCTCCCTGCGAGCAACACTCGGGGAGATGTCAGAGAAAAGATCCGCAAATTCGACCTGGAGGACAAACCAGGCGGTAAGCGGAGGTTTTTCCTCATGAGTTTGGTATTTTATGAAGTTTTTTGTGCTTTCTGACCTGTAAATGAGCTATATAAATAAAGTTTACTTGCATTCCTACTTTAAGATTCAAAACCGGTACAGGAGTTCCTTCTATCTGTCATAGATTCTCAGATTCCTTAACGGACATTTTCTTTTCTTCTGCAGCAGCAAGGCAAATGTGTTTTATGGTAATACTTGAAGAACAAGCTAAGGTTTTTATTGTTTTTCGTTTATTTGATTGTTATCTAAATATTTTGTTCTTTATAGACAATGGAAGGTCTTTCACCACTGAAGCTCCCGAAGTTGTCGGACCCTGAACTGCGACCAGTTCAGAATGCTGCCCGGTTAGCTTGTTAACCAATTTTAAAAAGTAATGTGTATCTGAAATAGTTGGTCATCAGTCCAAATTATGTTAATGGAGAAATCTTAGTTAAGGAAGGAAAATAAACTATTTTTCAATATCTTATTAAATGCAGTTTACTTATTATAATAAAGATTTTGTAGATATTTCATAAAGTATTTCACAATCACTTGTACTTTTCACAAGATGAAAATAATGTTGGATGTAATTATGATTGTTGTAAAATGTACAATTATTGGTTTTGTTTTAGCTAGATGCATGAGTTTTTATTTTCCACAACAAAGGCATTTTCTAGCAGCTTTGAAATTATTTTTCTTTTCTTATACACTTGGCAACTGTAGAGTCAGTCGTCATGTATTGAATATGCGATTTGTTTATTTTCTGTGTGAAGTTTTAAGTTATCTTTGGATGTTTTCTCTGTTTTAAACATTTGTTCACAAGCTAAGCATTAAGAGTGGTGGAATAGTTTTATATCAGGATTATTTATGGTGCTGTTCACTTTAGTATCAGTGTTCATTGCAAAAAATATGTTAAACAGTTATTTAATTTTTTTGGTTACAGTATCACTGTACTGATCCGGCGGCTTCTGTTGAATCTGAATAAAAGGATTCACGAGGCTTTTCAGCTCAGCCTGGAAGCCATAGAAAAAAACTCGTCAGCTTAAGGCTGCAGAGAAAAAGGTGGAGTTTTAGCTTGAAGCAGCTGATGGCTGCCAATGACAAACTGGAGTTATTAGAAAGCTGCTCCGCCTTTTATGCTGATGGTAGGTTTATTTATAGTTTATTATTTTGATTATATTTATGTTTAATGTTTTAATGAACATATGATGGTATATCATCAATTTGGATGAAGAACTCGAGATGAGCTGGACCACTGAAAATTTTCTTTTTTTTAATATATGACAGATGCAAAGTCAGTTGCCATGCATTAATATGCGACTGTCTTGTCTTTTTTATTTTACTATATTCAGTTTGAAATGCTGTATGTATTTTGTCATTTTTATGCTAAAATCTTTCAAAGAAAATTGATGCCATCAGGCAAACAGAGCAGGACGAAGAGCAAAACATGAGCTGGACCACTGAAAATTACTTTTATTTTATTTAAGTTCAGCTGTTTTGTTAAAATCTTTGTTTAAATTTGTACAATTTTTAATAGTTTTTGAAAATGTGTTCATTAAACAGTGTTCTGCATTGATGAATGGAGTCATTTTACATTTTTGTAACATGATAAAACTAGATCACCCCTTTATGGGTCATCTTGTAGTTTAGTGTGAAGTTTAAAGTTTGAGGGAAGGACCACGTGGGACATTAACAGGCTAAAGTTTGTTTTTAAGTTTTATTGTCATTGTTCAGAATGTATATAGTGCACAAAAAATTATTTTGTTTAAAAAGCACTTTTACAGAATATTTTATTACAGAGCTCGGTTGGAAGGGAAGATTTTAGTTATTTTGTTGGTTTCTGTTGAACAATATGGACGATGGCTAATGAATGGTGTGGACAACCCAAAGAACCGACACCAGAATCGGTTGTAGTACGGAGCTGGAGGAAAGCAAGGGATGAGGATTACATTAACGTCTGCAGCAGTTGTGAGACTGAGAAGTGGGACAGAAAAGTTACATCCAATTAATGTAAATTTAATTATAAGTAGATCTAAGTACGTTGGAGATTGTCATGATTTGATGTGACGGTTTGGTGAGGTGAAAGCAGGACGCAGCCAGACCCAGGTGGAAGTGATGAATGATTTAATGATGATCCACAGAGACTGGTAAACACGACGTGGATCCGACAAGAGACAAAGACAACAGGTGGGTTTAAATACACACAGGGAATCAATGAAACAAGACACACCTGGGAACAATCAACGGGGAAGCCGCAGAGACAGAGACTCACAGGGAACAGGATAATAAACACAGAAAACGGATCATGACAGAGATATTAAATATGTAGTTTTGACGAGATCCATCGCTCTGCCGTAGATACAGCCGTGGATCTGGCGGGGCAGCTGGGAGGAGACGCTGTGACGACATGACGCACATACGCTGACCGGATGACGCACATACGCTGACCTGAAAACAGGTTTGTTCTTTGGTTTCAACGTACAGTATTTATTTATTTTATTAATCTTCTCTGTATCGTTCCAATTTTAGTTGATGGCTGGGAGAGCTTTGAGCCTGACAAAAGCTCTGGTTCTTGTGAATTCAGCTGGCTGGTTACTTTGTAGTGGAGTCCATGATTACCCATCATGCATCTGTGCATTGAAACGACCAAGTTACAAGAATAAACAAGAAATTTGTGGGTAGTCTGGGTACATTTTTAAAGTAGTCAAGTACAGGTATGAGGTAAAAGTTTATTTAGCAGCAGACCTTCATGTTTGGAGGTTTTATCTTGTTCTGAAAGTAAAAATAAAACCGCTAAGGAGAAGTGGGCGGACCAGAGGGCTATAAAGACTGCTGTGAGACAGTGTGCTAGTGTCCTAGTTCTCTAGGACATATACTAAAATTGGAACGATACAGAGAAGATTAGCATGGCCCCTGCGCAAGGATGACACGCAAATTCGTGAAGCGTTCCTCATTTTCTCCTTCGCCAGAAGAAAAAAATCTGTGGAAAAAATCCCGGTGTTCTGTCAGATAGCCACACATGTCAGAACAGCCTACATATTGTGCATGCGCATTCTGCAGGAGGTCTGTGATATTGAGTGGTGCAGCTCGTCGTACGCGAGAAGAGAAAACAAAACCCAATTAAAAGTAAGTAAATAAATCATATTTAATGCTGCTGCAGCTGCAGTAAACTACAAAACGCGCCCTGTTTAAATTCAAGTTCCCCAGTTCATTGATATTTTTGGGTTGGATAACACGTCTGCTAGCTTGGATACAGTGATGGCTTTCCAGGTAGGACTTCGACACATAGGTTTATTAGGATTTCTTCTAATTCTTAAATGTTGAATTTGAATGGTCTGTGTATTTTTTTAACTTTCCTTATCCCCCCCCCCCCACCCTCCCAGACTGTACAGGCAGAAACCGTATCGGTATGAAAACACATTTCTTTACCCACACTGAAACTGGGGCAAAACCAGTGTTTTACTTTTGAAACAAATCCTTATCTTTATTAATGTATATGAAAAGCATTCATGTTAAGTTAGTTTTTATATGTGCTTTACATTTACATATATTAAGATTTTGCAAATTGAGGTTGCTTTTGGAACATGAAGGCTTTTCTGGTTAACAGATCTCATACCCGAGTACAACCCCCTGGGTTATGTAGCCAACAGTCACTATCAGTGTGACTGTTGCTTCAATTAAAAGACAGAAGATGTTGTTGAGTCACTTGAAGTCCCTGTGTCCACCGTGCGTTGCCAGGAAGGACATGGCGTCCACCAGTGTTGTCAATAAAAATTGGGATCTGTCAATTGCATTTAAACTCGCTGTTGTGTTTTCTGCAGTATTTCAAGAATTGCATTGTTGGATGCACATGCATAAACACGTAGATTAGAAGGTTTCTTGTATTACATTGGAATTAAAAAGGGTGAATATTAAGAAGCTTTCACTACAAACTTTATTTTGTTTAGTTTTGTATTTCTTGTCTTAAAAGCCAATATTTCGCAGAAATGTCATTGTTGCAGCACCAGTTGGCGTGTTTAGTAGCAGGAGTAGGTGTGTTGTCTAATGAATTGTCTTGTTTAAATGCCTGTTGATGCAATTTACATGTTTTTCTTGTGTCATTTATAGCAAACATGGAGTTCAAATGGGGTGAGGTCTTCAATTTTATTTCTGAAGGACAGAGGCAAACTTTGGGGAGGTATGCCGTAAAATTTAGCATCCATGGTAAGTTTTTTATATCTTAAATAAACATAAAATTTTTGACAACAATATTGACATAATGTGGTCATTGTTTTAATACAGCTGGGGACCTATTCTACGGAGCCTTACCCGAAAGAAGGGCTGTACGGTCCAAAGAAGAGGCCTGGAACTTCTTCAAGGAGTTTCATGCATCCCCCATGGGAGGACAACTGGCATCGTCAAAACAAGCAGTGCCATGTGTTCCCGATTCTATTGGCCCGGTATGACAGCAGACATTAAGAAATGGGTATGTAACAACATAGTTAGCAAAATCTTTATGCTCCAAAGTGTCGTAAAACCTATAAACTGTTATCTTGTAAAGGTGTCTCAATGTGACCGGTGCCAAAGAGTTGGACATCCCCTCCAAGTTGTCAGGGAACTTGAGTGCATAAAGGTAACCATCCACAGTGATTCCTGAAGTTTACCACCTCTAGGACATTGTTGCTCATAACATTGTAATCATCCCCATTAGGTGTCAGGGGTTTGGGAGCTGATTGGAATTGATCTGACAGGTCCCTTGCCCCTGACATCTTGTGGTAATCAGTGTATCCTGACAGCTACAGATTATTTCTCTAAATGGGTGGAGGCTTTCCCCCTCAAGACTAAGACCGCTGAGGAAGTCTGTCAAAAATTATGTTCTATATTTTACCGGCACGGCTGTCGAGAATTTGTGAACACAGTAAGCCACATTTAATACTACATATATTTCTGTGAAGCCTCAATATATGTAAAAGGTTATAATAACATGTTTGTTGTTTTAGATCAGGGGTGTCAAACTCCAGTCCTCAAGGGCCTCTGTCCTGCAACTTTTAGATGTGCCTCTACTGCACCACACCTGAAAAGAATAATTAGGTCATTAGCAAGGCTCAGGAGAACCGATCTACACAGGGAGGAGGTAATTAAGCCATTTCATTCCACTGTTTTTTACCTGTGGCACATCTAAACACTGCAGGACAGCGGCCCTTGAGGACTGGAGTTTGACACCCCTGTTTTAGATGAATAGTAGACTCTGATCTACTTTCAGTACAGAGAAGAATCACTGCAGCCTATCATCCTCAAACCAACGGCTTGGATGAAAAGACAAATGACAGCATTAAGCGGTAAGAAAGTTATTAGAAAAATTAAATGTTTTTTGTTTTGTTTTATATTTTTTAAGTTGCTTTTCATTGCAACATGTTTCTGTAGGTTTATATCAATGTACAGCTTGTTATAGCTATGTCATACCATAAGAAATGCAACACATAAGCAACTCTTACAAATTGGAGTATGTTCTTAGGACATGTGTGAAACTGTTCTTCTAGGGCACTGAGAAAACTTATCAACGACAAGGAAGATGACTGGGACATGTTCCTTAACTTTGTTTTCCTTAAGGTCGAAAACCCACACCACCACAAAATACTCGCCATTTTTTCTGATGTATGGCAGAGAGGCAAGGTTTCCTTCTGAAGTTCCTGTTGACATGCCGGTACAATTCTGCTACATTATATGAGTTTACAAACTCATGTAGTGTTTTTGCATGGAAATTTATGTGTATTAAGGTTTCAAGTTTTTACATCATGTTAAAATGTCAGTACTTCCTCTAAAACATACCTGCATTAGCCAACACTAACACTACAGTCTTCCAGATTAGTAGGAATGAGTAATCGGAAAATAACAGGTGAGACTGAGTTATCCCACAGTCTACCTCTCAGTGACAAATAGTTATAAAGGCTGAAGTGAAAAATGTTGGATAGACTGATGAAGCACACAAAATCTTCTGTAGATTGGAGGACGAATCAGGGAGATATTGCTGTTGAAACAGTCCAGGGGGCGCTGTGGAGTCAAACTCCAACAGAAGCGTGTCAACATCATTCAGATCCACTTTTTTCTGTCACCAGATGTAGTTTGAAATTTCTGTGTCAGAGTGTAAAGAACAATGTCATCAGCAAAATAGTTGACTGCCAAGGCATTTGGGGGCGGGGCTAAGGTGATGTCACCAACTGGCCATGTGACCGTGATGAGCGCTGCTCTGACAGAAATTTTCATAGAGCTGGGAGCTTGTTTGTGGGAGTTATTTCACCGTGTTTCATGGCAAATAGTCCGATTTTGAGTCTTGGAAATGCCCACATGCTTCATTGCAGAAGAAAGCTTTTGATAGCTTTTCATCTCCAACACCTCCAGAGTGTGCTGAGTAATTCTACAATCTGCATGTCAAAACTTGTAATACGAGTTTGCTAAGATACATATGTAAAAGAGACAGATGGTGAGTTTGATCCTGGGATCCCGGCCTGGGCTCCTGGATTTGGTTGGCCCTCATGGATCCCTGTACTCTGTCCTTGGGATCCATGAGGCCACCAATTACCAGAGTGAGTTGGACCGGAGGAAGCTGACCCTCCACAAGACATTGGTGGATACCCTTGGAGACTCAAGCAAAATTACTTTTGTCCAACTGTATGTGGACTCCCCTCACGTCCACATACAGATGCCTTACAGGCATCCAGTCAGCAGGGCACTGGTTACCTGTCGGTAATCTCACCCTCAATTCCAGCGGGCCTGATGTTCACATTGCTCACATGTACTACCCCAAGGATAAGATGGAGCTCCAGCTTGCCCTTAGGCTCGAGCAGGTCCGCCGATTTGAGGGTGAGATACCGTCAGAACTTGTCCCAAGGAGGTTCTTTTGCATCTCTGCATTAAGAATGCACTTTGTGGACAATGCTCTAGTCATCCCGTTTGAGGACAGCGGGAGGGACAGTGGTCTGATGGTCGCTCTTCGGATGGTCTTCCAGTACTTTGTGGAGTCACTTGAGGGACTGTACTCCAGCAATGAGGGGGTGACGAGGTATGACGCCTGCTGGAAGTCATACCAGTTTGAGCTGGCTTTAGAGGAGCTCTTTTATGTGCGTACTCTATCACCGTCTGACTTCCAGCTCAGCGTCAGCCTCGGGACCAACACGGTCAACCTGACCCACAGGAGGGGCTTTATCGGGTTGGCCCCTCACTCGGCAGCAAGTGCTGGTGAGGTCCCACCCCCTCTGCACCATTGGACATGCAATGCACTCCAGACAGTTCATCTGGAGCGCATTTTCCCTGTGTGCCAGGTGTTGGAGGCAGTCCCAGCTGTTCTTGGTGCTGCGCTCATCCACCTGTTGCTTTGACATCTTAAGGAGGAATGAAATCCCCTGGGAGACTCAGCGGGAGCATCAACCTGGAGGTGTTCGCAGATGACCTAAGCACCAAGAACAGCTTCCCTGTGCCCCTCACATCTGGCACATTTGGTCCAGACCGGCAGAGATCCCCATAAGTGCCTTTTGGTGGGCTCTCCAAGGTTGCCACGGCAACACTGCAGGTGTGCACAGAGGTGGAGCGGCAGTCATTGAGCTACTCCAGGAACCTGGAGAAGTACCGTGACCATGTGATGCCATGGATGGTCAAGGTGCTTCAAAGGGTTCCGGAGAAAGTAGATGCTGCCCTCCGCCTCAAAGTACTCACCTTTGCTAGCGCAATAGGGATGATCATGAACGTGCACTATGTTGATTAAAAACATCTCCAAAGTCTCCTTTATGAAATGACTCCCATAAGCTAGGCAATTCTCCAGAGGTGGGAAATCCTCTCAGAGTTCAACCTCCCGAGGGTTTTCAACTTCATGGTGTAGAAACGCCATGAAGATATTACTCACCAGCTGCAGGTGCCAGCAAAACCCAAATTCAAGGCACCACAAGAGGCACCTAACGAGCAGCCGTACAAGGATGTCCAAGAAGTTGAGGACCAAGACGACATTCCACTTTCAAGTGTTCTTCTTGAAATTTTTCATAGGTTCGTGTGTTATTTTCATTCATAAAACTTAAAAATAAAATCCCTCACATGGACTTTGCCTTGACATGGTTTGAGGGCTTAAGTGTCTACTTCAGACACAACCAAAGAGTCCAAGGTTAGGATGAGAGGTTTGAGCCTGTCCTCGAGATGGGACAGGAAATGCACGGTCCATCCATCCGTCCCATCTCGTCTTCTGTGGACAAGAGGGTTCAGTTTGTTTCCCCTCCTATGCATCACCAGAGTCCAACCATCCTGTCGTTCCATTGTTTTTGTTTTTAATAATCCTTTCAGCTTTATTTCTTAATCAATAATGTGTTATAGGTGCTATTTATGAATTGTGTGTATATGCTTATGAACTTTTTTAATATGTATATTTATTTTTTTATTTACAATGAGTAGAAAGTATATTAAAATAATGAAAAAATAGAATAAAGCAAAAAAATTTTAACAAAAACAAAAAGCCTTTTTAAATTGTGTTCCCCTCCCATGCATCACCAGAGTCCAACCATCCTGTCCTTCCATTGTTTTTGTTTTTAATAATCCTTTCAGCTTTATTTCTTAATCAATAATGTGTTATAGGTGCTTTTTATGAGTACTTGTTGCTGTATTGCTCCGAGCAGGAATGAAGAGTGAGTATGTGGAGCCGCTCTCCTATTTATAAGCTCCTCCCTTGGAGCTCCTCCCACTTCGTTACTCTTCGTGTTTTTTTAACCTTTATTTTTAAATGAAGTCCCACATAGTGAGCAACAGTCTAGTTTGGTGAATATTTTTCCATTAACTGATAAAAAAAAGTTCACAATAAATATATATATATATTTTTATGAAAATCTAAAATACAAAAAGGATGTAATTTCAGTTAAAAAGGAATCTAAAGAGTATGAACTCTCCCTTGATATCAATAATGTGTGTAAAGGTGCTATTTATTTATGAATTGTGTGTATATGCTTATGAACTTTTTTAAATATGTATACATTTTTTTATTTTTTTTAGAATTGTGAGTGGAAAGTATTTAATTAAAATTAAAAATAAAATAAAAAATAGAAAAAATAAAAACTTTTTTTTAACAAAAACAAAGAAGCCTTTCTAAATTGTGTGCCAACTGTTGCGACGTTTCGGCTGCTATGGGCCTTCCTCAGGCAAATGTTTCTAAGAAATAATTGGTTTTTGGTCTCAGTACAGTCATGGCCAAAAGTATTGAGCATGATTCAAATGTTAATATTTACAAAGTCTACTGCTTCAGTTTTTATAATGGCAATCTGCATATACTCCAGAATGTTATAAAGAGTGATCAGCTTAACAGCAATTAATTGCAAAGTCAATATTTGCCTAGAAAATGAACAAAACACATTTAAACTTCATTGCAGCCCTGCCTTAAAAGGACCAG